CTGTAGTTTGACAAGTCTGTTCGTGATAAAACGACACACATCACATCACCACACACACACGACACACTAGACGTCACACACACACGACACATCCAACAACACAAAACCCCTACATTAGACTCTACCAGACCAGAGATTATGTTGTTTGTCATTGTTTCATATGCAGTGCATATAACAATAACAGGCTATGGTGTCCCATGGACAGGAATGACAGCAGTCATACCTGAATGCGGGCACTAGGAGATTATCTTTAGCTAATTTAAAATTAATTTAAAACAAAATAAAATTATTCAGCTTTTTATTCTCACCACACACTGGCAATTCTAAGCAATGTCAGTGATAAAATATTCATTCCATAGAAAACCTTTTTCTTGGTCTAAGTTCTTAGTGACATAGTTTTAGAATGTATGAACTTGCAAGTCTATTGCAGAGGTAACATTTTCTTTGTGACTATATAGTTATTTATTAAAGCAACCGGATTTCAGTTTTTTTAAATATATATTTTATTAATTTTTTACAGAGAGGAAGGGAGAAGGATAGAGAGTTAGAAACATCGATGAGGGAGAAACATCCATCAGCTGCCTCCTGCACACCCCCGACTGGGGATGTGCCCGCAACCAAGGTACATGCCCTTGACCGGAATCGAACCTGGGACCTTTCAGTCCGCAGGCGGATGCTCTATCCACTGAGCCAAACCGGTTAGGGCCAGATTTCAGTTTTAAATCCTTATCTAGATAAATCCCATGTACCTGTTACAACGAACATAATGAAAACTTCTGCACCCAACAAAGTAACTTTTAACTAGACTACGGAGAATATTCTGAAAAGATTTATCAGGGTTACAGTCTCCCATAGGGACGAACCGCTTCTCCTGAAGACAGCGGACCAATTGTGAGGCCACTTCCCAAGAAGCTCTGGAGGGCGGAGAAAGGGCGGGAGCAGGCAGACAAAGGGCGTAACCAGGCGGGGCTGTAGTGAAGGGAGCTGAGTTGAAGCGTTTTGTCCGTCTTTGCTCTCCGTCCGAAAACTTGGGTGTGACAGGGTCACAGACATGGCGGCCGTAAGGGTAAGTTAAAAAAACACAGACATACATACAAAAACTTGCTTAGTTTTTTTAGGGGCAGACAGCATTCTGGTAACTATAGAAGGGAGCCCTCTAACTTCAGAAGGGCGCCCCACAGCAAGAGGCGGGGTGGAGGTGGGGTTGTGAGAGAATTGGCAAGACCTGGGAATCTTTTAATGTTTGAAACCTGAAGACACCCCGCCTCTCCCCTTCAGAGGTTTCTCAGCCGGGGAGTACTCTTTCCTGAATCCCCTGCGTTTGACTGTTTACACAGCGGCACAATGAAAAGTGGGGAACTGCTGGCTGAAAATGCCCCGCTGGGCGACAAGCAGCAGCAGACTTTTGGCTCTTGATCTGAAACAAAGGAAAGAATCCTGGGCATATGTGGGGGTGCTCAGGATCGGGCCTCCTGACCCTTTGAAGGACTTTGTTAAAATGTTATTTGGGGTGAAATAGACCAGGGTAGACAGATCTCAAGACTCTCTGAAGTGCACAAGTTTGTATTACTGTTGTTAACTTCCGAGTTTGAATAACAAGCCTTTTTCTTTTGAGTTCTGTGTGGGAAAAGGTGCTGCTTGGGAATCTGCGTACAGGAAGTGACTCGGCTGGCTGCTAGCTTCAGTTCCCTAAGTAGGTTTCAATAACAATAAGGTAGTTGAGAAATATCTATATTTGAAGTGGATCATAGTTATTAAGTGAATTGCTTTTAGTAGATACAAATATGAATAATTCACTTCAGTTAGTTTTTAAATTAACTCAGTAACTGGCTTGATTCACTATTCTCACTTCATTTCTGCAATTCTGCTTCTCATAGTTAGCTGAGTTATCAGGACACCTTTTTAACTGGACTCACTGTCTCTAGCCTGGCTCTCATTGAATCAGTTTTTCCCTTCACTGGCAGGGTAGTACTTACACTAAAATGCAAATATGATTATGCCCCTCCCCTACTTAAAAACTGTTATTGGCACTCCATTACCTGCCCTCTGGGGTCAGGTCAGACTCCTATATCCAGAACACCCTGCCTTGGCTCTAGAGCTTCACCTCCTGTCTCTCAGGAACTCTTCTAACATTTGTACTCCAGGCCTTTTCCCCTTCTTTCCCTGGACCTGAAGTGCTATTTCCCATCCTCATCTAGATATTTCCTGTTTATAGTTCATTCACTCATTTAACAGATAGTTGTGTACTGCCTCCATGTATGCTAAGCACAAAATGCCTTTTTCTAGAGAGTGTCCTGAACCACCTCTCCAGTCTAATTTAAATTTATTGATTGATTGATTTGCATTTATTTATGCATTTATTGGTGGATTCTGGTAGGTGCCCTGACTGGGGATCAAACTCAAAACCTTGGTGTACCTGGACAATGCTCTAACCAACTGAGCCACCTGACCAGGGCCTGAAGTCTAATTTAAATAAGTCCCCATTGTGCTCCAAGAAGACCCTGGGCATACTCTTACCTTAGGACTTACCACATTGCAAGTAATAGACTATTTACTCAAATGTTTTACCCTTCTAAACAATAAGCTACTTGAGGACAATACTTACAACATTATTTTTTGTATTCTTAGTACATAGCACAGGTATGACTTATATTAGGTACTCAATAAATTCTACATGAATAAATACGTGCCAGACAATGAAGATAAAAGGTATTAAGCAGTGAAGATGCAACATGTAACATAAATGACTGTGATTTGAAGATAATTGCCTTGCCTCAGGAGCAAACCAGAATAGTACATTGTCACTGAAGCCTAGAGGAGAGAGTTGAACAGTCCTTTTATTTGGCCATTAATAAGTCACTGGTAGCTACCATTTTTTAAAATATATATTTTTTTATTGATTTCAGAGAGAGAAAGGGAGACGGGACGCGGGGGGGAGAGAAACATCAATGATGAGAGAAAATTATGGATTGGCTGCCTCCTGCGCACCTCCTACTGGGGATCGAGCCCACAACCCGGGCATGTGCCCTGACCGAGAATCGAACCTGGGACCTCCTGGTTCATAGGTTGATGCTCAACCACTGAGCCACACCTACCAGGCTGGTAGCTACCATTTATCACGTGCTTACAACAAGGCCAAGCACTATGCTAAATTACATGTTATTTCACTTAATTCTCAAGACATCTTTATGTTGTGGATATTATGATCACCAGTTTACAAATGAAAAACTAACACTTAAAAAGTTAAGTAAATTGCCCAAAATTATAATGCTAATGAGAGCTGAAATGAGATAAAGAACTATGAGTAAAATAGTAGAGGGAGAGCCAAAATTGTATGGAGTTAAGGAAAGGATAAGGGGTATTAAACTGGCATTCATTTAGCACCTACTTTTATAAGCTGCTTTACGTATATTATTTCAGTTTAATTCTCTTGATGACGCTAAGAAATGGATAACATCCCCATTTTACATATGAAAAAATTTAGGATTAGAAAAAGTGCTTGCTCTAAGTCAGTGATGGCGAACCTATGACCCGCGTGTCAGAGGTGACACGCGAACTCATTTTTTGGTTGATTTTTCTTTGTTAAATGGCATTTAAATATATAAAATAAATATCAAAAATATAAGTCTTTGTCTTACTATTGTTGCAAATATCA